GAGGAGGAGGAGGAGCCAGAGGAGGAGGAGGAGCCAGAGGAGGAGGAGGAGCCAGAGGAGGAGGAGCCAGAGGAGGAGGAGGCACAGAAGGTGCCGTGTTATACACAGGGACAGTCCTGGCTCTCCACAGGTCCGTGGATGAATTCCATGGCCTCCATGATGGTTCACTGGTCCCCTACTATTAGTGAAAGGTTAATAAAATAAATACTTGTCACTCCGTTTCTCTATATGCTTAACAAAACACTGTTGAAATCTTAAGAACTGTTTGCTAATCTTGTTCTCAGAAATGTGCTGTCCCTAACTGTGGACTGTCTGCTAATCTTGTTCCCAGAATGAGCTGTCCCCAACTGCCAAACTACAAAATGTAACTTCTCTCGCTGCCCTCTCCAAGGAAAGTATATAAGCTCTGCTCAAGCTGTTCTCAGGGCTCTCTATCTCTCTTTGCTACAGAGAGAGCCCTAGCATGCTGGTCTCCAAATAAACCCACCCTTCTGCTTTTGCATAAGACAGTCTCTTGTGGTCTCTTACTCCGACGTTTCGCCGGACCCTTACATTAGGAATCTCCTGACACATCCCGGCCAGCTCCCTAGGCCCAGCTGCTCACTCCCGGGGCTCTGCTTGTGCACAGTGTGACATCAGGCTCCTTCCACAGCTTTTGCACAGCCCGCGCTGGCCCTCCGAGGGTCAGGGTGCAGCCTGTGGCTCACAGTCATAGCCCCCACCTTCCTGCCCTCCTCGAATAACTACCCTGTGCCACTGTCAAGAAAATGCGGAAACCTTACATCTTCCAAGTGTGAGCTGAAGCCACCAGTGCAGCGGCACAGGCTGCACAGCCCAGGGTGATGGGAATCCCTGGACGAGGCAGCATAACTCTTCCCTTTGGTGCTGGAGGTTACCATGGTGATGAGGATGTCACAGTGGGTGCGGGAACTGAAGACGTCACTAGGAGGAATGGGGAAGAATGCACCAGCTCTCTCCTCTGAGTGTCACGGATGCACAGGACAGTAGATCCCCAGGGGATGGGGGGGGTGTCTCCAGGCCACCAAAGCATAGTCACTGCCTAGGCCGGGATGGTGTCTGTGTGACACCGTCTTCTCCCACCTGCAAGCTCTGTGAGATGGTGAACACTGGCATCCTCGCAGCAGGGCACCCTGAAGGCCCACAACAGCAGCAAACAAGATCTGCTTGATGTCACATGCCTCTCAGCCAGGGACGAGCCAGGCACGGTCCCCTGCCCAAGGGGCTCACTGCTTATGGGGGAAATGGAGGAACGCAGCAAGCTGCCCTGCATGTAGCAGGGACAGGAGAAAGTGGGCTCAGGCTGGGTGGCAGTCCCGGGAGGGTTGGAGGAGGGACACTGGACCACAAACTACACACTGCACAGGGCAGCGACTGCGCTGACCCTCTTCATCCTGGACCTTGGAAGGTAGGATGTGCCTGGTCCCATCAGGAGCATAATGAGTGCCTGCTTCAAGGATGTGCATGGTCAGGAGAAGCGCAGAGTTCTCACGGTGGACACAATGACCGGCAGGGGACGTGAGCCGGGCTGAAGGAGCAGCAGGGGCAGAGGCCTGGAGAGTCGAGGACACTGGGCCCCGTCACAGGTCATCATCATGGCTGGCATGGAGACCCAGATGGCAGCAGCAGGGGCAGGTGTTAGAAGACAGGCTGGCTTAGTCGCAGGGGCCAAGTCACAGAAGGACATTGGTCCTGAGGGCTTTGGGGAGCCCCTGCAGTTTTATGAGAGAAGCGGTGGACTGAGCTGGCACTCAGGTAAGATGTGCTCCACTCAGGGCAGACTGGTGATGAACTGGCCAGAGGCTAAAAGGCAGTTTGGGAGCTGTAGCCATGACCAGGGCCAGGGGTGCATTCTCCAGAAATGATGTGTTAACAACTGGCAGTTGCTGAGGAAGGCCATATGGTATCCTTTGTCAAAGGTCCCCTGTCCTGCCCCAGCCCCTGCCTGCCCCCTGCTCCAGCCAGAACAGCTCTGCCCTGAAATTCTGACCACTTCATCTTAACTGAAGATCTCAAGAGTAAGGTCTGGCCACTGATTTAAGTGGTTCTTCCTTGGCTCAGAGAGGTAGGAAGACATCTGTATATTGACTTATTCCATCACCACTTCAAGAAGGTTCTGGAAACATGCAGTTGCTGTGAGAGCCGTCTAACTGACTTGGAACATCCGTTCTTATCCCGTCCTGCCTGTGTCCACTCTCACAGTTGTGCTGACCGTGACTGGTGGCAGGCGCCTCCCTCACCCAATTTCAAAGGAGCCATTAGGATGGAGTAAACCCCCGGCCATGTGGGTGGAGGCGACTCCATCGCGCGGCCTGCAGACGTGAATGACTACCTGCCCTGGCGTTCAGTCAGGGCCACGGCCTCATGACATAGCTTAAGATGGTCCTCCAGGCTGGCCAGGCCCCCCCCCGCCCATGCTGGAGGAGAGTGGGAGAAGAATGGTCCTCTCACCGAGGACTTGAGGACCGTGTGCTCAGAGGCCCCCGGGGGGCATGCTGCCCAGGACTTGGGGAGGGTCAGGTGTCGTCCCATTTGATCCGAGGAACAACACTAGGGCAAAGCCATCTTTCATTTCTGTTTTACAAATAAGGAAACATGGGAGGGAGGCTGCTGGCCCTCGAGGCCTCTGTTCATCAGCCTCGACTGGAGGCTGGAACTCAAGGTCAGGAGCCAGTGTGGTCAGGTCCCGGAGGGGCCCTCGCTCTGGCTCAAGGAGGACAACCTTCCTGCTGCGTCCTCAATGAGATGTCTCTGTTTCCTCTCGGAGGCCACAGTCCTCACCAGATTAGCCCCTGATGACCACATCCAGGCAGAATGACCTCCCCCCTCTGCAGACACAGTCACCTGATATGTGAATGTGGGGGACACACTCTGGTCGACAGCGGCCTCACGGCTGGCGAGAGGACGGGGAGGTCAGACGCTTGTCCCTTCCCCAGGCTTGCCCCCCTCCCGGCCACCAGTGTCCCCCGCACATGGTGCCCCGTGCTTTGGGCCTCCTCTTTCCTTTCTCCTTGGCTGTGACTGTCTTAAGCACAGGAGAGCGAGACGGCTCCGCTCTGGACGGGGGAAATACAGCCCCCGACAGCTCAGCCTGGGCCACTGAGGCTCGGGAGCACCAACCAGTCACTCTTCAGAGCAAAACTGATGGAAACTAATCGATGCCGGGCCTTCGCCTGTGCCAGCTCCGGAGCCTGTCAGCCAGAAAGAAGGATGGGAGGCCGGCCTTGGCCGCAGTAATTCACCCTCGGGCGACGCGCTCAGGAGCTGACGGGTAATTAACATAAAGCACTGGTGTCCCCATGAACCCAGAGAGCAATGCCCACCACGTCCCCTCAGCAGGGGCGAGAGGCGGCAACAGAAGCCTGCAGCCGGAGTCTGTGCAGGCAGGAGGCCTGTGGGAGGCAAGCAGGCGCAGGGTGAGGAGGCGCAGGGTGAGGAGGCGCAGGGTGAGGAGGCGCAGGGTGAGGAGGCGCAGGGTGAGGAGGCGCAGGGTGAGGAGGTGCAGGGTGAAGCGACCCAGGTTCGAGTCCCATGTCCTCCCCTGTGAGTGCTGTGGCTCATGGGCATCTGCAACTAGGATTGGTCGGGGCAGGACCACAGGAAGTGCCGGAGGCCACTGGGGGCACTGAGGGAGCCCTGACCATGTCCAGGTTCCAGCAAAGGCTGGGGTCTCTTCCCCCGAGATGAAGACAGCAGGGCAGGGGGGACCTGAGCCCAGCAGCACTCCAGCCAACGCAGGCAGTGACAGCTGCCGAGGGCCGCTGCGCAGCCGAGAAATGGGCAGGGGGGCAGGGCACGGCAGGCGGAGCAGGGACCCCGCCAGGGGCCGGCACAGGCTCTGCTTGTTCTCTGCCTTCCCTCCGGGGACCCCCTTCCCTCACCGTCTGCTCATGACACTCGGGGCCACCCTCCGGCTCTCCTTCACGTGAGTGGGCCCTGACCACCCAGGCCAGTCACGGCCTCGGGCTCTGCGGGGGCTGCATAGCCACCACTGGGGCCAGTGTCAGCCGTGGCTCTGAACACCAGGCTAACACATGCAGGGCACAGCAGGAAGGCCAGGTCAGCGCGAGTCCAGGCTTAGCTATGGGAGCCAAGGAAGTCCTGTGAGCTCTGGCAAGCTGAGTTCCTGTCCCTACAATCCAATCAATCCTGGCCCACGGCTCGTGAACTCAGTGCTGACCAGCCGACCAGGACTCTCTTCCTGTTAGATGAGGACTTGATAGGTCATCGTCCACCTGCCTGGGCGCCTACCATGAGCTGTTGACTCACTGTCTATCCCATCATCCATCTGCCTGATCTATCAGCTGTCCGCCTATCTCTCATCTGTCTACCATGTCTGTATCGTATATCTATCTGTCACCCAACACACACACACACACACACACACACATACACACACACATACACACACACACATACACACATACACATACACACATACATACACACACACACACATACATACATACATACACACATACATACACACACACATACACATACACACATACATACACACACATACACACACATACACACATACACACACATACACACACACATACACACATACACACATACACACATACACATATACACACACATACACATATACACACATACATACACATACATACACATATACACATATACACACATACACAAATACATACACACACATACATACACATACACATACACACATACACATATACACACATACACATATACACACATACACACACATACCCACATCCACATACACACATATACACACATA